TTCTTTGATGGCCCATTCTTTCCACTGGGATCTCACTCACAGAGATCTTTCATTTAGGTCATTTTTTTTTTCCACAGTGTCTTGGCTTTCCATGCCTGAAATACTCTCATGGGCTTTTTAGCCAGATCCAAATGCCTTAAGGGCTGATTGTGAGGCCAGAGTGATGTTTAGGCCATTTGCCATTCGATGAGTCTGCTGTGTATCCTGCTCCCCATGTTGGATCATTCTCTCCTTTTTAATTCTATCAGTTGTTACTTGCAGACACTAGTCTTGTTTATGTGATCCCTTTGACTTTTAATCCTATTATTATAATCAATTATGAATTTAAACTTATCACTTTAACAAGTGAGATGCATTGGTACATGCCACCTTGATGGGATTGAATTGGAATCCCCTTGCACGATTCTAGCTCTATCATTAGGGGTACGTCCGAGTGAGCATGTGCTGAACTGTACATCTCCTCCCTCTCTTATTCCCACTCTTATATTTAACAGGGATCACTTTTCTTCAGTTAATTTTAAACGCCTGAAAATAATTGAGTGTTACTTAAAGAGTTTAACCAATGGTATTAACTAGAACAAAAATACTAAAAGGAATAAAATAGTAAGTTATTCTTTTTTTTTTATCTTTTATTTAATGAATATAAATTTCCAAAGTACGACTCATGGGTTACAATGGCTTTCCCCCCCATACCGTCCCTCCCACCCACAACCCTCCCCTTTCCCACTCCCTCTCCCCTTCCATTCACATCAAGATTCATTTTCGATTCTCTTAATATACAGAAGATCAGCTTAGTATACCTTAAGTAAGGATTTCAACAGTTTGTTCCCACACAGAAACATAAAGTGAAAAATAATAGATGATTTTTTTTTAAATGATGATGAAATCAGATCAGACCTATTGTCATGTTTAATCCCAGTGAGAGTCAAGTGGGAATGATAATTTCTTTTTTTTTTTTTTTTTTTTACAGAAGATCAGTTTAGTGTACATTAAGTAAAGATTTCAATCGTTTGCACCCCCATAGAAACACAAAGTGAAATATACTGTTTGAGTACTCGTTATAGCATTAAGCCTCAGTGTACAGCACATTAAGGACAGAGATCCTACATGAGGAGTAAGTGCACAGTGACTCCTGTTGTTGACTTTACAAATTGACACTCCTGTTTATGGCATCAATAATCTCCCTATGCACCAGTCATGAGTTTCCAAGGCTGTGGAAGCCCCTTGAGTTCTCCGACTCTTATCTTGTTTAGACAAGGTCATAGTCAAAGTGGAGGTTCTCTCCTCCCTTCAGAGAAAGGCACCTCCCTCTTTACAGTCAGGACAAGGGCCGATCAAGTCACTGTTTCTCATAGGGTCCATTTCACTTCAACAGGTTTCCTTTTTGGTGCTCGGTGAGTTGTCACCGATCAGGGAGAACATATGATATTTGTCCCTTTGGGACTGGCTTATTTCACTCAGCATGATGTTTTCCAGATACCTCCATTTTGTTGCAAATGACAGGATTTCATTGTTTTTTACTGCTGTATGGTATTCTATAGAGTACATATCATATAATTTCTTTATCCAGTCTTCTGTTGATGGGCATTTAGGTTGATTCCAGGTCTTAGCTATTGTGAATTGAGCTGCAATAAACATTGAGGTGCAGACAGCTCCTTTATTTGGCAATGTAATTTCCTTTGGGTAAATTCCAAGGAGTGGGATGGCTGGGTTGTATGGTAGGGTTATCTTCAGGTTTCTGAGGAATCTCCAAACTGACTTCCATAGTAGCTTTACCAGTTTACATTCCCACCAACATTGGATTAGTGTACCTTTTTCCCCACATCCTCACCAGCATCTATTGTTGGTAGATTTCTGCATGTGAGCCATTCTAACCGGAGTGAGGTGAAACCTCATTGTGGTTTTGATTAGCATTTCCCTGATGGCTAGTGATCCTGAACATTTTTTCATGTGTCTGTTGGCCATTTGGATTTCCTCTTTTGAAAAATGTCTATTGAGGTCCTTGGCCCATCTCTTAAGTGGATTGTTTATTTTATTGTGGAGTTTCTTGTTCTCTTTGTAGATTCTGGTTATTAATCCTCTATCAGTTGCATAATTTGCAAATATTTTCTCCCATTCTGTCGGTTGCCCTTTCACTTTCCCTACTGTTTCTTTTGCAGTACAGAAACTTCTCAATTTGATGTAATCCCAATTGTTAATTTTGGCTTTGACTGCCTGTGCCTCTGGGGTCTTTTCTAGAAGTCTTTGCCTGTGCTTTTATCTTGCAAGGTTTTTCCTATGTTTTCTAATAATTTGGTGGTGTTGAGTCATAGATTTAGATCTTTAATCCATGCTGAGTGGATTTTTTGTCATGCTTCATGCTTCTACACATGGAAATCCAGATTTCCCAGGACAATTTGTTGAATAGACTGTCCTTGCTCCAGGAATTGGCTTTAGATCCTTGATCAAATTTAAGTTGGCACTGCAGGTGGTGGTTTTATTGGCCATGCCACAGTGTTGGTCCCATTGATATACTTTCTTTTACCTAATTCCCGTAAACTTTTGAGGAATATGCTTTATTTATCTAAAAATCTTGTAAAAACTAATTTATTTGAGAGTCAGAGAGAGAAAGAGAGGAGGAGGAGGAACACACACAAAGAGACATAGAGATCTCCCATACTCTGGTTCACTCCCCTAACCCCATGATGTTCTGGCCTGGGCTAGGTGAAGCCAGGAGACTAGAATTCATGTAGGGTCTTCCAAGGGGGTATCAGAGACCATAACTGCTGCCTTGCAGAGTATGCACTAGTAGAATGAGAAGAGAGCCAGGAATCAAACCCATACACTCCAATATGGGATGCAGGCAACTCAAGTGGCCTCTTAACCACTTTACTACACACACCTTCCCATTGATTTTTATTATTTGTATCAATTATTTTCTATTCCAATTGCAATTATCTTGGGGAAATGGGGTATGTAAAAGAGGATTTTGAAGTTTGTTGAAATGCATTTTTGTAATGTAGTATAAGTCAATATTTTATAACTTTTCATTGCAATTTCTCAAGAATGTAAATGCTCCACCTGTTGGCCATTAAATTCCTTCTCTATAAGATTCAGAAATCATTATGCTCTCCAAACATATACCCTTACATTTCATTTTTGTTATCTTTGTTACTTTCATAAGTATTTTCAGTCTTCCTACGGTGACTGTTTGCCTATCACATCTCCAATCAGCTTCTCCTTACCAGAACTTGTGCTCCTGAGTACAAGTCCCACTGCTGTTGATGAGTCATTCTTCTCTTTTCACTTGGTTCCACTTTTTATACCTACTTGTGAACTTTCTTTTAAAGTATATTTGCCTTAAATTAGTATTAGTAGGATGACTTAAACTATCTATATCTGTTATTTCTTTTTGATCTGCTTTTTCAGCCATTTTACTGATTTTTTAAAAATTTATTATTTATTTTTTAGATAACATGTTTTTAAACTTACTTTGTACTCTAAGGTTTTATGGATTTGCTAGATAAAAAAAGTTCAAATAAAAAGTGGAAAGATCATAGCCCAGCAGGAAAATAACCCGGACTGTAACTAATATCATGAAAATCTTGCTTCTTTATTCTTTTTCTTTTTATGAGAGAGTAAGAGAAAGGGGACGAGAGAGAGAGTCAGATCTTAACAATTTTCAAATGCACAAAACTGCCAGTGCTGGGGCAGGCTGACCCTAAGAGTTAAGAACCCAACTGTGTCTCTCATGTAGGTCCAAGGAACCAAGTTCTTGAGTCATTGCTGGAAGCCTCCCTGGGTGCACATTAGCAGGAAGCTGGACTGGAACAGAAGTAGCCAGGACTTAAACCAAAGAGTCCATTCTGGGATGCAGGCATTTCAACTAGGAACTTAACATTTGTGTAAAATGCCTGACCCTGAAGTCGCTTGTGCATAGCAGTTGGATAAACTTGTTCCTCTATTCCCTCAATAGAGAGTCTAAGTTGTGTTGTGTGTATTTAATGTCTGCTGCAAACCAGCTGTTCATTCCTGCTTATGAAAAACTCTTCAAATCAGTTCTGCTATATTGCAGCGCATGTATCTTCAAAAACCTTTGCAGTGCACAAAATTATAGAAAAACCATAAAGTTTATTGGAAAAAGGATGATAGAGAAATGATCCTCAAACTCTTATGCCAGGAAAGAACAGCAGGCACATCCCTCTCACTCTACACACTCAGATTAATGTGAGTAGAAAGCAGGCAAGGGCTCATCTTAAATTCCAGTATCCTGTACTGTAGCTCCAGAATCCTTTAGAAACTCCTCATTTGCTTGTATTTTTATTAATTCTGAGCAATAATTGTATGCATATGGATCATTTTATTTTATTTATATCCCTTTCCTTATATTTTTTTGTGGAAGTGATATAGAATGAGACAGTGGACCAGCGCCGTGGCTCACTAGGCTAATCCTCTGCCTTGCGGCGCTGGCACACCGGGTTCTAGTCCCAGTCGGGGCGCCAGATTCTTTCCCAGTTGCCCCTCTTCCAGGCCAGCTCTCTGCTGTGGCCAGGGAGTGCAGTGGTGGATGACCCAAGTGCTTGGGCCCTGCACCCCATGGGAGACCAGGAGAAGCACCTGGCTCCTGGCTTCGGATAGGCGCGGTGCGCCGGCTGCAGCATGCCGGCCATGGCGGCCATTGGAGGGTGAACCAACGGCAAAGGAAGACCTTTCTCTCTGTCTCTCTCTCTCACTGTCCACTCTGCCTGTCAAAAAAAAAAAAAAAAAGAATGAGACAGTGAGTGGGAGAATTTACACAAAAGCCGAGGAAACTGGAACCATAGGACCACAAATGGGTAACAGAGGAGGAAACTACCGAAGATTTAACTGTTTTGAGAGAGAGGTTTAATTCCATTGGTAATTTCTTCTTATTGCACAGCACAGTGCAATTATCCCTGTTTTTAGGCTGGGTTTGGGGTTGACCTAACAATGTGAAAGTAAGAAATAAGATTCTTAGGCTTCTTCCCTTTTATGTCTTCCAGGTACATTCCCTGGAACCTCCATGAGCCAGAAAGAGGCAAATTTGAATTTTCTGGGAACCTGGACCTGGAGTACGTGGTGATGATGATCCTGGGGTTAGAGGAGGAGGCCAAGAAGTGGCTACATAGGGCAGATGAGGAACCCTAGCCATGCCCTGCCTCTGTGTTGAGAATCTTGTTCTTGGCACCCAGGATATGATACTCCTCTGCTTTGACCTGTCTCCTCAGATGTGCAGAGCCAGCAGCTTCTGCGGTCCCTTGTGCACTGCAGGCCAGAGGGGCCAACAATCAAGGACCAGTAGGTCTGACCAGCTGCTGCAATGAGCTCCATTCATTTGCAAGGGGACAGTGCTACCCTCTAAATAGGCAAGGCAGTTGGGGTCAGGATTGGTGCAGTGCACGCTGCACCATGGCTGATGCCCTTTTCCCTTGAATACCCTCTGGATCTATGCAGATGACCCTGAGGCTGGGAACTAGTGGGAACCTAGCTATCAGGACCTCTGGCCTCTGAATTGGGTGGGGATGCCTAACACTGCTGCGGTTGTGGTTGCGCTTTTCCTCACCTGTTTCCCTGATAGGATGGGGAAGAGGCAGGCAGCTACTACAACAGGTGGTGTGTGCAGGCTCCCTCCTGCCCAGACTCTGCCCTGGACTCATGCCCAGTGCTGAGGGGGTTTTACCTCCACAGGGCCTTTGTGCTGATGGCTTGGGAGATGGGGCTGTGGGTGATTCTGCGTCCAGGCCCCTACATCTGTGCTGAGATCGACCTTGGTGGCTTGCCCAGGTAAGCTTGGTTCTGACACCAGAGTTGAGGTTTAGTAAACCATCTTGCTTTACTTAAAGAAAAATTTCAACCTAGTAATAATAACAACCTTCACTGACCAAGTGTATGTGTCTAACATTGATTCATGGGGAGTAGGTGCATCTGCATGCATGCAGTCCACAGCCGTGGCAAGGGGCAGGGGCCTCTGTTATCCCCACTGCATGGAACAGGAGTGGAGATGGCTGTCCTGGTTCTTGAGCCTGTGGCCTTGCCAGGCTGTGAGGGGAGGAGGAGGCCTATCCTTGTCTCTCTCCACAGGCAGGTGCTATGTGCACCTCTACTGTTTTCACGTTGTGAGAAGAAAGGGAATGGAAGCTTTTGGGTCTGCACAGAAGGGTCTGATCCCTCTGATCTTTCCCTTAAGTTGTTGCAATGTCTCCAGCACCTGAGACCCAGCCCACTCCCCTCCTTCTAACTACCCAAGTTTTGTTTGCTCATTTTTCATGTTGGCTCTCAATGCAGACATGTGAGGTGTGGGTGATTATTTGAAAATCCTGTTCTCTCCCCATGCCATCTGACAGGATTCCTGTTTTTTCCTCTGGTTGTGCCTCCAGATGAGCATTTGTCTGTCTCAGATTCACAGGAAATATTTGCTTTTCTCATGATGGGATCCTTCTCCCATCCAGCTCAGGAGATTGAAAAGCCTGAACCGGAGGGAAGTGGAATTTGAGGGAAGTGGGAAGTGACTAATCCCTGTTCTGTTCAGCTGGGGACCTGGCACCACCCAGTGACCAGGAGAGGAGGGATTTATGGGCTTGTAGCTCCCACCCAGAAACTGAAGTCTTAGGTCTTTGTAGAAATGTGGCCCTGCTTTCCAAGGAGCAGATGCTGCGGTCATGAAAAATGTTCTTAGAGTGCTGTAAAGCGTGGGCAAGAGCAGTTAGTGAATGAGAGAGAAAACACTCAAGTATTTAGGGGTCTTGGCATGCTCAAGCTCTCAGGCTGGTTAAGGGGATCTGAACACTTTCCTGAGTTGTAAGGTGCCTCGCAGCTGGAGGTAATTCTTTCATGTAGATTCTGAGAGTCTGGAAGTAGTCCAAGAGGCCCCCTTTGTGCAGATCCTTGGAGGGCTTTTGGGCATAGCAAGACTCGATGTGAGCTGGATGTACAGAGGTGATAACTGATGAAGGGTCTCTGAGAAAGGCCTGGGATCACGCTTTGTGACCCCAGCCACTTTTAACCTGCCTTCTGTCTCTACACTGAGCCTGGCTCTCCCAACTCCAGCTGGCTACTGCAGGACTACAAGTCTCGAATGAGGACGACAGACAAAGGCTTTGTTGAAGCAGTGGACAGGTATTTTGATCATCTGGTTCCCAGAATGGCTCCTCTCCAGGTAAGGCCCAGGAGATGTTTTCTTCATTCTCTCACTGTAGGGAACTAATTTGTTCCAGCCCAACCACTTAATCGGCCACATCCAGTGCATATGAAACACGAAGCTGACATTCCTGGACCTTTAGATTCTGCACCATCAGCTTAAGGACAGAAATTTTGACTTGACTATGGGTTTTCCTCATAGCTTCTGGAAAGACCCACATCGTGCAGGACAGGAACTGCACCAGTGTTGTCCTGGGTGTCAGCGTATGCCTGATACTCACAAATGCCCTGATGTGTATCTGACCTGTCTGCTCTGATGCTACTTTCATTGTTTTACAGTTAATGCAAGTGCTCAGTAAATATACTCAAAAGGCAGCAAAGAGTGATGGTGAAAATCAAGTCTCCCTTCCCTCCTGAAAACAATCCACGTAGTTGTCTGTGTAGATGACAAACAATTTGTTTAGATTCTGCTTCATTGTACAGGGAATTTCCTACACATATATAATCATATCATAGATCTAAAGGAACAGACACTACACTTAGGATGATGATGGCTACAGTGGTTCAGGCCTAGGCTGTTCCTGTGAGATGATGGATCAATATTTTCCAAAAACAGAGAGATCCAGGGCATGTCTTCTAGAAGGCAATCAGAAGGTTGGTCAGGTATTATCCAGGCCAAGCTTTTGGTCCTGTGTCTTCATGGGAGAGAATAGATGGAAGGAGATGGAATGGGGTATGTGAAAAACAGAAGAACAGTATGCTTGAGGCAGCATGAGTAGGAAAAGACTCCAAATTCGGCTTGTAAAGGAACTCTTCAGCCCCCCTCTGCCCACTCCAGAGCCCAGTCCTTTCGCCAGAAATAGCATATGCCCTCTGTGATTGGCATCTTATCTGTAGGCAATGGGATCCATGAGACTCTGCGTTGGGAGTTACTGTCAAGAGCTCACTCTACTGTCAGTGTCCAGAGGCTACAAGGAGAAGGAAATTCACTGACAATGGGTAAACACTGAGTGACTAAGCACTGAACAGTGCTTTAACTTGAGCACAGCTCCTCAGTGGTGATGGACGAAGTGGCAAGGTGGGCTAGAGGCTTTGCCAACATGGCTTGGGGAGTGATTACAAAGTGAGAGCACAGAACATCCATGAAACATACCTGGTGACCTTGGTAGGAAGAGGTAGCGAGAGTGAGCAATCCATTACTGGTGGGGTATTTTCTCCAGACTGCTACCCTACGATGTGAATGAAGATCTTGGATAAGAGCCCTTGATTCGAGAGGTCACTCAAACGGAAGGAGAGATCAAAGGCTCAGAAGGTAGAGGAGCTGCACCACAGACATGCTCAGACATGCTCCTAGGCTGGTGGTGGAAGCATTCGGACCCAGCACGCAGGGATTATATCACACTGAGAGAGAAAGCGGGGGGAGGCATGACTCTTTCTGATCACATGGCATTTCAGTCCATGTTCTTTGGCTATAATGAAATTCCTGAAATTGAGCAGTTGACAGAGAATGGCAGGTTGTTCGTCTCTTGGTGATGGAGGTGTTCTTGAGCATGCTGCCAGCATCTGCTAAGCACCTTGTGATGACCTGCTTGCTGCTGTGCAGCCTGGTGGGAAACATCACGTGATGAGACGTTAGTGCTACCACTGAAACTGCTAATGCTGGCCACTACATGACTTCAGCCAATCCTAATTCACTCCCGATCCTCAATCTCCAAATCTGCTACCACTGGACTTGGAATCTGTTTCCAACACAGGGAATTTGGAATATGAATTAAACTTTTGCAGAGGGCAAGAAGGAGGTGAATTGTGGGTTTGAGAGTTCATATTCAAGTGATTACTTGGTATGAGAAACAGAGGGAGCTGTGGAAACTCATCTCTATAACACAAGAGACAGCAGGACTTTTGCTGCAGCTTGAGTGTCTAGGAGCTGAGTGGTCAGATCCTCAGGGAATTTGGCTCCATGTGCCCACAACACCTGTGTTACCTTATCCAGCAAACTCAGACACTGAAACTTTCAATTCTTATAGCCTAATATTTCAACCCCCTGCCTTTGTTTCTCAGTACCGCCAGGGAGGTCCTGTCATTGCATTCCAAGTGGAGAATGAATATGGTGCATTTAATATGGACAAACACTACATGCCTTATCTCCAAGAGGTAAGAACATTTGGTGTGTCTCTACATTTACATGCCTTCTTCCTCAATCTGTCTCTTTCGAGTACCTATTTCTGTTTTCTTTCCTACACTGATAGCGGCAATGTCTGTGATAAGAATATTTAACTTGCATTCAATTCCTCTATGAATTTACAAAATCATTAGGACAATCAGTATATACTTAACACTATAATGAGAGAGCATGGTATGAAATATTATTCCTTTTTTTTTTTTGGCTAATCATTATGACCAAGAGTTCTCATTGAAATCGGAGGTTGGTGAACGTACATTTATGGTAAATAGTGATCTGTGACTTGATGATGTTTGCTGCTAGTTTGCTTCTTCGGGGTCTGTATAATCATTTTGCTCCTCTGTACAGGTGCATCTCAGACTAGGGAATGACTGCAGTCCTGCCTGTTGTTCTGTGTAATGTTTCAGGCCCTCCCTGTCCCTGAATTCCTGTATTGAAGGGCTGAAGAGGTTCCAGTCTTGAATGGAGCCCTGATCAGGGTGCTGAGCAGGATGAGGAGCCTTGTGATCTGGCCTGACCCTTCAGAGTCTGCCCTGTCACATTAGCTCTGTACACCAAAGGACTTGAGTTAAAGACCTGGATAAAATAGGGTGGTGGTGCTCACCAGATCGGCAAGGAAGAGGTGGAAGGCACAATGTAGGGCTCCATGGAGGTGCTGGCTTCTGCCTGACAGCTGTGCCTTCTGGAATTGGACAAAGTCTGTGAGGAATTGCTCTCCTAAATGGGACTCATTTTATTCAATTTTCACCACAGGCTCTGTTGAAAAGAGGGGTTGTGGAGCTGCTTTTGACCTCTGATGTACCGACTGAGCTGCCAAAAGGCTACATCAAAGGAGGTACAAGTTAGAGCTGCTTGAAAGGAGAACTAAGACTCTTACTCAGATGATGTAAACTTTGAACAATCCGAGTGACTGTTCTATGCCTCTCTTTCCTATGCACATTATATTGGATCAAAAAGACTTGTATTACAGCAAGTGAGGAACAGTGGGCAGAGCTTAGCATCCTGGCCATCCCCACCAACACAGGGAACCATAGAAGATGGTGAGAAAGTAACCCAATTTGAGCTATGAGCCTACATGCTGAGATTCAGTGTAGACACTCAGTGAACCCTTAAGAATGAAGTAGCAGGAAAATTCAGGACAGAATCTCCAAGTGTTAATAGTAAGAAAAATGACTGGATATCAGTAGGCAGATGGGTCCAGTCACATAATGTTTAACACAGTATCATCTGCTGCAGTAGAATGTTATTCTTGCCTCTTTTAATGTGTTTTCCATATTATAGTGGTACCCTGGAAAGTGTGCTGAACTTTGGCCTATAAAAGCTGCATAAAATACTAAGATTGAAGTAGCTGAGATTGCACTGGTACACAAAATATCTTTTGCATAAAGTGTCCTAGCAAGTGTTTGATGTGGAGAAAGTCACTATGGCTACAAGCAGTGTCGCACTATCCATACGGCTCAGCATACTCCTGCTTTATGTGTAGAAGGGGCTTCCATCTCTTCCTTGATGGCACTTGTCACAGTGTCTCAGTAGATATTTCTTCTCTTTACAGTACTGGCGACCATCAATATGAGAAAATATTTTAAGGATATTCCTAAACGGCTGTATAGAGTGCAGGTATGATGTCTTAGAGATGGAGAGTTGCACCCTTCTCCTTCCACAATTCCATAGCCAGTGCATCTGGTGTCAAGAATGGGCTTGATAGTGTCCGAAGCCATTTCAGGGTATGTTTGCTTTTTTTGTGTGGAAAAAGAGGAAGAACTCCTGCCCTGTCATTTCTGCTTATGGATCACATTGTGGAAATGGTTGAGAGTAGACTGAAGGATTAAAGATGTACAACATTATCAGCGAATCATAAACAGAAGATGTTCTCTTTCCTCTGTGTGAACAGAGCTCAGAAATGGACACCTTGGCCAGTGCCATGGCTCACTAGACTAATCATCTGCCTGCGGTGCCGGCACCCCAGATTCTAGTCCTGGTTGGGGCGCTGGTTCTGTCCCGATTGCTCCTCTTGTAGGCCAGCTCTCTGCTGTGGCCTGGGAGGGCAGTGGAGGATGGCACAGGTCCTTGGGCCCTGCACCCACATGGGAGACCAGGAGTAAGCACCTGGCTCCAGGCTTCAGATTGGCACAACACACCGGCCATAGTGGCCACTTGGGGGGTGAACTAATGGAAAAAGGAAGACCTTTCTCTCTGTCTCTCTCTCTCACTGTCCACTCTGCCTGTCAAAAAAAATAAATAAAGAAGCAAATTTTAAAAAAAGGAATAAATGGACACCTTGTGTCATGTATGAAAGATAAATATCTTTCTTTGGTTGTATTGTTTTCATCTGGACTCTGAGAATCATGAGAATGGGTGGATATTTCTTAGTAATTTAATTACAAAGAGGAATCAAGCAGCTTCTCCTTTTCTCTCTGCGTATGTCCCCTTTGACAGTTTCAGTGGACTAAGCACAGGGAGCATATCCTGTCCCCACTGCACAGCCAGGTGCCACTCTTCAGTATCAAATGTGGATCATTGTCCTCTCCGCTTCATCTGCTTTCCTAGCTTCCCTGGGGTCTGCCATAGCATCCAACTCCGCTGACAAGTCCTGATCGTCCTGTTGTGACTTCTTGTCTGCTTTCCAGTGCCAGTCCATACTCAGAAGGAAGCTTTCTTTCCATTCCTGTCACATGCAGAGACCTCATTTGGCCAAAGCTTCCCACATTTCTCATTCCATTGTGTTTCTCCTACTCCTCTATAAGTTTTTAACAAAGATAAAAATGAAAACTTTGTTTTCTTATGTATTTCTGCACATTTTCCAACTTAGTAACTAGAAGTACCCAGAAATTTTTGTGCTATGCATTCATTAATCTTCCTTTTATCTTCCTTTTTCTGTTGTTACTTGTTTTTAACATCTTCATTGAAATTAAGTTTTTCATTTTTAAACATTTATTTGTCTTTTCTTTTTAAAAATATTATTTAAGTTATACAAGTTTCATGTGTTTCATAGATACAAACTTTGGAACATAATGATACTCCCTACCCTACCTTCTCTCTGGCCTATGTACCAACCCTTCTTCATCCTCCCTTTCCTAATCCTACTCTTAGTTTTTTTGATAATATACTTTTTAAACAGATTTATTTATTTGAAAGGCAGAGTTACAGAGAGGCAGAGGCAGACACAGAGAGAGGTGTCTTTCATTACTGGTTCATTCCCCAGATGGCCGCAACGGCCGGAGCTATGCTGATCTGAAGCCAGGAGCTTCCTCTTCTGGGTCTCCCATGTGGGTGCAGGGGCCCAAGGACTTGGGCCATCTTCTACTGCCTTCTCAGGCCATAGTAGTGAGCTATATCAGAAGTGGAGTAGCCGGTACTCGAACCATAACCCAAATAAGATGCCGGCACTGCAGACAGTGGCTATTACCTGCTATACCATGGCACCATGCTCCCCCCCCTTCTTAATTTTTTCTTTCTTTCTTTCTTTCTTTCTTTCTTTCTTTCTTTCTCTCTCTCTCTCTCTCTCTCTCTCTCTCTCTCTTTCTTTCTTTCTTTCTTTCTTTCTTTCTTTCTTTCTTTCTTTCTTTTGCAGGCAGAGTTAGTGAGAGAGAGAGACAGAGAGAAAGGTCTTCCTTCCATTGTTTCACCCCCCAAATGGTCACTACAGCTGGCGCGCTGCGCTGATCCGAAGCCAGGAGCCAGGGGCTCCCTCCTGGTCTCCCATGTGGGTACAGGGCCCAAGCACTTAGGCCATCCTCCACTGCCTTCACGGACCACAGCAGAGAGCTGGACTGGAAGAGGAGCAACTGGGACTAGAACCCGACATCCATGTGGAATGCCAGCGCCACAGGCAGAGGATTAATCAAGTGAGCCATGGTGCTGGCCACAAAGATCTATTTTCAGTATACTTTATGCTGATAAGGTTAATCCTACACTAAGTAAAGAGTTCAACAAATAGTATGAAAAAAGAAAAAAACACTGTTCCTCAACACAAGAGACAAGGGCTATAAACCATCACTGAATCTCAAAATGTCCATTTTACTCCAGTACGTTGCATTTTAGGTACTCTATTAGTTACCCCAGATCAGGGAAAACATGATATCTACCTTTTGAGACTGGCTTATTTTACTAAATATAATTGTCTTCAGTTGTATCTGTTTTGTTGCAAAAGAAAGCATTTCATATTTTTTACAGCTTGGTAGTACTCCATAGTGTATGTGTGTGTGTATAAACCATAATTTATCCAATCATCAGTCATCAATTGATAGACATCTTGGTTCATTTCCTATCTTATCTACTGTGAATTGAGCTGCTATAAACATGCGGGTACAGATAATACTTTCAAATGCTAATTTCTTTTCATTTGGATAAATTCCTAGGAGTGAGATTGCTGGGGCAAATGGTAGGTCTATGTGCATTTTCTAAGGTATATCCATATTCTCTTCCACAGTGGCTGTACCAGTTTGCATTCCCACCAACAGAGGATTAGGGTACCTTTTCCCTCACATCCTTGAACAACATTTTTTGTTTGTTTATTTCTGTATGAGAGTCATTCTAACTAGAGTGAGGTGAAACTTCATTGTGGTTTTGATTTACATGGCCCTCATGTCTAGTGATCCTCAACATTTTTTCAAGTGTCTATTGGCCATTTGAATTTCCTCTCTTGAAAAATGCCTGTTCAAGTCCTTTGCCCATTTCTCAACTGGACTGTTTGTTTTGTTATTGTTGAGTTTTTTGAGCTCATTATAGATTCTAGATATGTCTGTTATCAGTTTCATAGTTTGTAAGTATTTTCTCTCATTCTGTTGGTTGCCTCTTCACTTTGTTGAGTAGATCCTTTGCAGTGCAGAAGCTTCTCATCTTGGTATAATCCCATTTGTTTATTTTGGTTTTGATTGCATGTGCTTCTAGGGTCTTATCCAAGAAGTCTTTGCCTATTGCCAATAGCTTGCAGAGTATCCCCTTTGTTCTCTAGTAATTTGATGGTATGAGGTCATAGATTTAGGTCTTTGATTCATTTGAGTGGGTTTTTGTGTAAGGTGTAAGGTAGGGGTCTAGTTTGATACTTCTGCACTGGGAGATTCAGTTTTCCCAGCACCATTTGTTGTAGACTTTCCTTTCTCCAGGGATTGATTTTAGCTACTTTACCAAAAATAAGTTGGTTCACCTGGTCTCTAAGTCTGCTGAGAAGTGTGTCATTAATCTAAGAGAGATTTCTTATCTTTACAATTCTCTAGTTCATATTTTTCACAGTTCGACTAGACTATGTCTTGAAGAGGGCCTTTTGGTTTGGCCTGTGAGCGGTCTTTGAGCTTTCTGTGTCTGGAAGCTCATATTTTCCCCCATTTCAGCAATTATGTCATTAAATAAGTATTCTATGCATTTTTCCCTTTTCTTCTCCATCTGGAACACCCATAGGGAGGATCTTGCTCACTTAACAGCACTCTACAGGTCTTCAAGGCATCCTTCATTTTTAAAAAAGTTTTATTTATTTTTTTATTGGATAGCATTATTTCAAAAGACCTGTCTTCCAATTCAGAATTTTTTCAGGTGGCTCAGTTATGCTGTTGTGGGTTCATTTATTCAGTTCTTTAGCTCCAATATTTCTGATTAATTCTATGCTAAATTTCTAATTCATATGCTCTCTTTTCAAGAGAGTCTGTATTCAAGTCTGTATTCTCTTAGGTATCACTAATTTTCCTTCAAATCATTGTTTTTAGATTCTGTAAAGTACTTCACTTCTCTCTGGTTCCTTGTGGTCTGTTGCTAGAGTTATTCGGTTCCTTTGAGGAATCATATTTCCTTGTTTTTTTTTTTTTTTCATGTGTTTTTGTTCTTATACTGGTTTTTGTGCTTTGGTCCAGGTGATCACTTCAGTGTGTGTTTAGCTTCTTGAACTGTAACACTGACATTATGTCAAGTGTTTGCAAGGAGTGTGAGATTGCACCACAAGCTGGGAAGCTATTTCCTTGGTTGCAGCAAGTTTGAAGCAGCTCTGTGCACAGTGCACTTCACTATGTGTGCTGGGCCATCTTCAGTTTCTGCAGGTTGTGTGGGAGAGAGGTCATGGTGACAGGCCCATGGTGATAGGCCATGTGGCACATCATGAATGTGGAAAGGTGACTATCAGTGTCTAAGGCTCCATGGGGGCATGTTGAACCAGGATGCCCTCACGGAGAACCTTCCCAGTATTTGGGGGTTGCGTGGGTAACTTCATGGGGGCATGTTGAACCAGGATGAACGGAGACTGGAGAACCTTCCCAGTATTTGGGGGTTGCGTGGGTAACTTCATGGGGGCATGCTTGCTCAGGGAGGCCAGTTGCCATGCTGCTTCCAGGACTAAAAGAAGCTTGCAAGTGCTGATGGTCTGCTTTCCAGAACACAGTAAACAGGTTCTGAGAATGGGCCACTCAGTTGCTTCATTTAAATCTTTAAAATATTTATTTATTTTCATTTTTATTTGGGAGAAAGAAGTACACAGAAGGAAAAATATTTTCCATTTACTGGTTCATACCCGGAATCCCTGCAATAGCAAGGGCCTCCATCTGGGTTTCCCATGTGGGCTACAGTGAACAAAGTCTGAATAATCACTGCTGGCTCCTAGGTCACACACATGTGCAGGGTTAGAAGAAGAGGAGCAAGGGAGCAAACAATGCACTCCAATATGGATTGCAAGCACCCAAAGCAACAGCTTAAAAAAACTACACCGATGCTTGTCCCTCAGCTGCATCTCAGTACCACAAGGAGGTGACTGGGAGACCCACTCATTTCCTGGGACCTTGGTGAGCCAAGCCACTCAGGAAAGCTTTAGAGTTGCATTCCCAGGTCATGGATGGATGGGTGGGTGGTACCACTGCCTGCTTCACTGGGCACTGTAGTCAAAGCTGATCAGGTCTAGTTGCCATTATTATCAATTCATGATATTATAATATGATTGATTCAATTCAATTACCTCCATTGTATTCATTTTTTCTTGAAGCTGAAATGTTGTTTTTCTTGGCTAATTGGCTGCCTTTCAAACTGGTTACTACTTCCTTTTGTCATGACACCCTCTGTCTCTGACAGTTTCCAGCCAATTAAGATGTCCCAGACTCTCCTGATCTACTTCAGTACTATACATGTTGTCAACTATTCCTCCTAGGGGCCTGCTGTCACCTGTGGGACACAATCTGAGATCAATATCAAACAGCTGTTGCTTCTAGGTATTCTCAGTGTGCAGATCCAGAATGGTGGTGTGTGTTCAAAGGGGACAGCCATGCTTCCATCAGGTTTTTTTAAAATACCAGTTTAAAATTATAGAATTTATATGAACATCTTTGCTTTACACCTTTTAGTCTAATCTGAGAAATCATAGCTAACAATACTAATCATTTCATTATTTAAGTCTAAAACATGCTTATAACATGTCTAAATGAGCTTTGTATCTCTTTAATTGCCTTACGTTTTTATCTCCTGAACTTACTTTTAAATATATCTCCAGATTTATCTTCATATCCATGAATTTCCTTTTAAGCTATTTCTAAGGTGACGTCATATTATATGCATTTTTGATACTCATTGAAAAGATTGGTCCAAATAACACAGATCACCCTTATGGGAAATTGTTAGTTTTATTTCTTTACACATGTTTAAAATGTTTTGTTTATTTCTTTAGGGACACAAATTATGTATAATGCAGAATTCTGTCTAACTCCGATAGCTCTCTTAAGGTTTTCTCTTCTACTCCTTTGTACTCCATGTTCGTTTATATTTAATTTTGCTCACTTTTCACTCCATTTACTTTAATGTTCTTTGCCTGTTTATTGTCCTGTTAATGCTTTATGGTTTTGACATAGTGTACTCCATTTAATAAAACTCCCTCAGGTCCGATTTTTATGTTTTCCTCTTCGTACGTCTTCCTATCATGTGTTCCTTGAGCAATTTCCATGTTCCTTTATGCTCTCAGTTTGGACAGGTGCTTGCTTCATGGAGATTTTTAAGTTTACAAGATTACTTTGTTCTGTGCAATAGGAAGGTTTGGGCATCTTTCCTCTGGCTTATTTTCAAATTTAAAGAAACAAACAAGGATTCACTCTTTGACATAGTGGTTAAGACACCTGTTGGGAGGCCCAGCTGGATGCTAGGTTGAAGTCCTCTCTTCTCTCCTGCTGACTCCAGCTTCCTGGTGATGTGCACTATGGGAGGCAGCAGGAGATGGCTCCAGGAATTGGGTCCCTGCCGCCAATGTGTGTGAGCTGAACTGAGTTCCTGTCTTCCATCTCACCCTGGCCTAGCCATGGTTCACAGGATTTGTGGAGAAGCTGTCTCTGGTCTCTCACTCCCCCTCTGCCTCTAAAATAAATAAATAAATAACCAAAATTTTTAAAAGAGGCAAAATTATTTTTATTGTTTGTAAGTATATATTTTTGTTTTTAAAATTTTATTTTATTTAAGGGATATAAACTTCATGCATTCAATATATACAAATTTGGGAATATGGTGATTTCCCCTCACTCCTGCCCACACTCCCACCCTTCTTCTTCCTCCCTCTCCCATTCCCATTCTTATTTTTTATAAAGATCTATTTTCAGTTAATTTTATATTCATAAGATTAACCCTACACTAAATAGAGAGTTCATAGAATAGTATGAAGAAAAAGAACACAAACAAACATACAAAAATTGTTCCTTAACACTCAAGACAAGGGCTCTACAAAATCATCACATACCAAGGTGTCAGTTTCACTCCTACAGGTTACCTTTTAGGTACTCTATTAGCTACCACAGATTAGAGAGACCATACAGTATTTGTCTTTGTGAGACTGGCTTATTTCACTAAGTATAATGATTTCCTCTTTTATTATTACGTATTGCTGATCTAGGTGAACTTGTGTTGGCCCAAGTACTTAGGAGATGTCCCCGTGACACAGAGCACATGATGTGCTCCAGAATAGAAATAGATCTTGGTGGCACACTGTGGTATGAAGATCCACATTCTCGCCATTACTCATTTCTTTTTTCTCTTTCTCCTCATCCCAGAATTCTGGCTTTCAGATTTCCAAAAAGTCACAGACTTTTCTCATTATTCTTATTTATGCTTCAGTAATTTCTCCTTTCCAAGCTTTAGATTCATTGAATTATGCAAAGCATATGCCTTTCACCAACTCGGGTATGTTAATCCATGATTGTAAATAAGAGGTTATTGGTAAGCCGGCGCCGCGGCTCACTAGGCTAATCCTCCGCCTTGCGGCGCTGGCACACGGGGTTCTAGTCCCGGTCGGGGTGCCGGATTCTGTCCCGGTTGCCCCTCTTCCAGGCCAGCTCTCTGCTGTGACCAGTGAGTGCAGTGGAGGATGGCCCAAGTCCTTGGGCCCTGCACCCCATGGGAGACCAGGAGAAGCACCTGGCTCCTGCCTTCGGATCAGTGCGGTGCGCCGGCCGCAGCACGCTGGCCGTGGCGGCCATTGGAGGGTGAACCAATGGCAAAAAGGAAGACCTTTCTCTCTGTCTCTCTCTCTCTCACTGTCCACTCTGCCTGTCAAAAACAACAACAACAACAAAAACAAACAAGGAACTCAGGGGAAGGAAATTACAAACAATATAAGAATTCCTTTGACTGAATGTTATATATGTATCCATTGAAGGTGGCGCTCTAATAACACCGAAAATGGTAAAAAGGACCCACATAGTGAAATTAACAGCCTACAGGGAAAGTGATCATTATCTTACACAGAGAACAACAGGAAACAGAATTGTATAGGATTACAAAATACTGATTTGGGGGCTGGCACTGTGGCTCACTTGGTAATCCTCCGCCTGTGGCACCAGCATCACATATGGGTGCCAGGTTCTAGTCCCAGTTGCTCCTCTTCCAGTCCAGCTCTGTGCTGTGGCCTGGGAGGGCAGTGGAGGATGGTCCAAGCGCTTGGGTTCCTGCACCCGCGTGGGAGACCAGGAAGAAGCACCTGGCTCCTGGCTTTGGATATGCGTAGCTCTGGCCGTAGCGGCCATTTGGGGGGTGAACCAATGGAAGGAATACCTTTCTTTCTGTCTCTCTTTCTCACTGTCTAACTCTATCTGTCAAATAAATAAAAAAATACTGATATGGTATAGTAGGAAGCAGTGGGACACAAATTTGAAATTTGAGGGTAAATGAATTCTAACTTAGAATTCTATAACCAGCTCAAATATTGATCAAATGTGTTGATAGAATACAGAATAAAGATATTTTCAGTCATATAATGACTCAGAATATTTATTTTCCATTTACCTTCCCACAGAAGTATTTTGAGGGTACAGAAATTGAAAGATTAAACCAAGATGAAAGAAGACAGGACATCCAAACCACACCATGTCCAACCTAAGGAATTAGACGTTCAGGCTTCAAACACTGGGGTCATAGCAGGATGTGACCAAGAATGAATGCACTCTGTGAGTGTCTAGCATATCAACCAAGAGTAGTTCAGTTGGAACCTTCCAGGTTTTATGCACAGAGACAGCTACCCCTGCTCTGGGGAGACTTCGGCCGTTACCAAAGGAGCCTGAACTAATCGGCAGCCTTGGAAATGTTACAATAGAAGTGGAATGTAGGCATCAGGATGAAAGCCTAGGACATATAGCAGTTTGGGCAAGTTTAAGGAGAATCTGAAATGAAGTACCTCTGTATGTAGACAAGAGTTAGTTCAGATATCTTGAGAAATATTTATTTTTTTACTTTGGCACAAGAATTTCTGTTTTAGATAAGACATTTGCAATCCACAGGCAACAGAGAGTGAAGGTTAAAAGGAAGCATTCTGTAACTTGGCAGGGAAGTTAAAGTCTCAGTGAATTTGGACAGCTTTCCTAACCTTAATTTACTCATTTTATAAAGGAGACTCATAGTATCCTGGGGTAATCAATCAGTACCAAGCATAATGGAAAGTTTGAATGATGACTAGGAATAAAAATATGCAGTTATTGTCAAAATAGCCTGGTACTTTATGTACTATGTTTACCAACAAATCTATTTTAAGTAAGATTATGCAATAAAGAAATAAATAGAAATGCAACTTCAGCACACTTGAGGTAAAGTGAAATGGAATAAACTCATACAGAAAATGAACAAAAATTGACTGAGTAAACCCTAGGACTAGTATCTAATCATTGCACACAGACCTGAGTTGGAGTGATGGTTCTGTGCTCAGCAGAAGTGTGATATCTGAACGTCACTCTCCATAAAAGGTTTTCAGCCAGGGTTCTCTGTATCCAAAGCTGATTCTTTCAAAGCCAGCCTAGGATAACACAAGTTTGGAATCATGGGTGCTTCTGTCCATGTACTGTAGGCAGGCGCACAAAGCTGGGAGGAACCAGGAGATACTGGTGTAGTGGAGGAGCCAAAGCTACGGATAGTGGTGAACATGTGATAGGTGAGGAGGAAGTGAAAAATCATGGAACAAAAAGAAAATGTTCTGAATTTGGAAAAACATGGAAAGCATGAGATTCTTAAACTCTCCCCTGCTGCCATGAGGGCTTATGACTTTTATTTTTTCCATACTTAACTGTTTGATTGTATTTATTTCCAGGGAAATAAGCCCATTCTGATTATGGAATATTGGATTGGCTGGTTTGACTGCTGGGGTTTAGGGCCACACCAATTTACAAACGTACGTGGTAAGTGTGAAGCAACGCTGGACACCAAGGAAAGATGGCACTGCATCACGGAGCATTTCAATGGTTCACTGTCAATTTGTTTATTCATTCAGATGTGAACATTCACCAAAGTCCATGCTTTCAGCCAGGCCTTAAAGAAATGCAAGTGAATAAAAATTGGGCTTTTCCTATCCTGACAGAAGCTGCTGTTTTCATAGGCCATTAGCAGGGAGTTGGATCGGAAGTGGAGCTGCCAGAACTCAAACCAGCACCCATATGGGATGCTGACACTACCATCAGAAGCTTAACCTACTATGCCAAGCATTGGCCTCTGTGTTCACTTTTTAAACGCATGTTTCTACTAATGGTATCTTGTTGCAGCTGTTATTCAAACAAGCTCACTTGTATTTAACTAAAAAAAATTCAAAAACACTTGCTTACTGAGACAAGTCTGCATACAGAACAAGTCTGTCACATACTGAGACAAGACTGAACACAGAATGAACAAAAGAAAATCTCACTAACATCACCAGTCACAGCATAGCAATAACATCAGTGTTCCCACCAACAGCAGCCAGACGAACTACAATCAGCACCATCAACACAACAAAAATGCCAATGCCACTACCACGAACAAACGCAATACAATTCCAACTATGAGAACACTGCCACGGCCAATAAAAATGGCATCAAAAATAACAAAGATACCAGTAACAATAACACCAATAACATTTATAAGGACAGCTACAATATCACCACCATAAGCACTAAATAACAAAAACCACTATCAACACCATCAACAACAATGCCAACAACAGTAGCAGCAACATAACAGCAATAACAAAACTACCAGCATCAACAGTAGTGCAAGCTACAGTAACTCCAACACCAAGATCAATAATCAAAACACCAATATCACTACCATGACAACACACAATATAAACCTCGATGAAACCTCTACAAATGCCAGTAATAACATCACGGCCAACAGTGCAAGAAGTTCACCACCAACCACAAACATAACAGCAGGTGCATCACTAACAAGACACAGTAACTTTTCTGATCTTTTCTGTCAGGCCTTGTGTCATGCTTCTTATATGTATTTCCGAATTAATTAATAATTAATTTTTTCTGAATCCTGTGAGGTACCAGCAATTAATCCTTACGGTTAACAAAATAGGAATTGGAAGCTTGAGAGAGAGAGATTAGATTGTTTAATATTGTTTAATTCAATAGTCATAGGAATAGCAGGGGGCATGGCAAGGATTGACTCCCACTTCTAACTAAATTTGAGCCTCCTATTTTGTCTTGTGGGCAGGGAAAGGCATATATATCTCCTGAAATATGGTGGCAAAAAGAGTTTTGTGGCTTAAGTTCGACAACAGCCACTTTTAGACATTAGCAGTGATTCAAAGCCATTGTACCCAGAGACAGTGTTCTGGCAATTAGAAAGGGGGCATGCTAATCATTTGTACACTTTCAAAAAAATTATCAATGTTTAGATATTTCAGGAAGATGAGAATCCTTAGGTTATCATTTAATAATTATATCTAGGGGCCAAAGCATTTCATTCTCTGCAACAACGGAAATTTTACAAGGCTCTTGGAATTGATAGAATGAATGGTCTCATAGATCAGTTCAGGGAAATTTTTCATTTTCTGGTTAGCATCTTAGTGGAGGTTGACTGAAAAAAAATTCACTGATTGCAAGCTGGGGTTTCAAATCACAGCAATTCAAATAAGACATCTTTCCTCCTGTTAATTTTTAATATTCTCTAAGTTCTCATCTTCTCTCTCCACAGATGTTGAACGTACTGTGTCTCAGTTTATCAAATATAACATATCCTTCAATGCATACATGTTCCACGGTGGGACCAACTTCGGTTTCATGAACGGGGCTGTACTTAATGGGATACACAGGAGTGTTGTCACCAGCTATGGCAAGTGTTTCCTGGTGTGGTCACCTCTACAGCTCTAGTGGGATTGCAATGTTATAAAGAATTCTCTGGAAGTGTTCTGGAATCCTTGATGACCTGTGCTGAGTGTTGAGCACATCCTTGTCTACCCTCTGTTTTCTGTGATGCTCATAATGTCCCATCCGGCTGTCATCGCACTTGAAGGGTGCCATCGCACCTAGGATTTACAGCTCTGCTTCCCTCATTTGTTTGTTTGTTTGTTTGTTTGTTTTTTGACAGGCAGCGTGGATAGTGAGAGAGAGAGAGAACAGAGAGAAAGGTCTTCCTTTTGCCGTTGGTTCACCCTCCAATGGCCGCCACAGCTGGCGCGCTGTGGCCTGCGCACCACGCTGATCTGAAGCCAGGAGCCAGGTGCTTCTCCTGGTCTCCCATGGGGTGCAGGGCCCAAGCACCTGGGCCATCCTCCACTGCACTCCCTGGCCACAGCAGAGAGCTGGCCTGGAAGAGGGGCAACCGGGACAGAATCCGGCACCCCGACCGGGACTAGAACCCGGTGTGCCGGCGCCGCTAGGTGGAGGATTAGCCTAGTGAGCTGCGGCGCCGGCCATGCTTCCCTCATTTGTGCACTGCCCCCTGGCGTGGACCTCTAAGAGGACACAAAAAGTGATTTTTTGTAAGGTGGGGAGGTGGTTTTTTTCTGTGTCCCTCTCAGCGGGCCTGCCCCATCCGTGCCCAAGGCAGACACAGGAACTTGTGCAGAGGCTGCATCACCCTTCACAGGACCCTGTGTGTCTTACAGACTATGATGCTGCGCTGACAGAGGCCGGCGATTACACAGAAAAGTATTTCATACTTCGAAAAATCCTTGGATCCATCTCAGGTACTCAGTAACCGTTTAAGTGGAGGGTGGTCCTCCTTATGTAGTATCTGCATGCTGTGGAAGACCGAGAAAGGCAGGAGCTTACTGCTGTTCTAGAGATCAAGGGCAACCTGAAGTGTAAATCCTGGGTTTCTCACTTAAAATGTGTGTGGTTTTGAAGAACCAAAGTGACTCCATTTTAAAAAAATAAAAAAGCAGCCTCCGTTTCCCATAGCAGACCCGGGTCCTTGTAAAAGCAGACATTCAGGCATTCCAGAGATGTCAAAGCTTACCAGGGACAGCTAGCTGGGTAGGCCAAGGACAGCACAGTAGAGATTGCTAAACAAAGTAACTCCCTGTACCCAAAGCTTCCATGCTGTATGTAACTCTTTTCTCCTGCTGATGTAGCCCTTTTTCCCTTTAAAAACTCTCCCAAACAAAGACCGGGGCCTCACTCCTTCCTCTGCTGTGCTGGTTGGTTGGATGAGGTCCCTGTCGCGGCTTGTACTCCCGATAAACCTTGCTTTTGCAGTTCGGTGTGACCGACTCTCTGGGGGTCTCTGCGGGGATCTAACGATCTGGGCACAACATATTTTTTGGTGCCCAACATTTTGAGGCAGCATTTCTAAGCCCTTGGATCTCAGTTGCTTCAATGAAACATGGAAATAGAAAGACACTTGTCTCTTTGATGTTTGTGTTGGCATAGATTATGTAACCTATTTTTAAAGCTCTCAATGCCATGTGTGACATAGTCACCCCTATGTAAGAGAATAAACCACCCTGCCAATTATTGCTTCTTCAAGCAGTGTTACTTAACCATCTACTACATCTAGGAACTAGGAAAGCCTGACAATGACTAAAAGCTCCCTGAGAGCCCTCACTGTGATGGCCCACATTAGCCCTCTGAGGGGTCTGTGTGTCCAGGTTTGTGCGGGTACAACACAACTCACTCATTGCTGTCTGTTGCTCGTCACTCTTGGAGAAGCACATGTGTGTTTTAGGACAAGACTCGTGTCACTTGTGGGCTCTGGGATATGCTCAGACGTAGCAGGGGTGAGGAGTTAAAGAAGACAGTGGTTGCTTCAAGCACTTCTCAAGCTGTGACCTGTTTTCATTGCAGAAATTCCCCTGCCGCCGCTACCTGACCCTACTCCTAAATCCGTGTATCCTGATGTGAGTCTGTTCCACTACTTGCCACTGTGGGAAGTCCTACAGTACCTACATGCAGTGAGTACAACTTGGAAACTGGGATAGGTATGAACATTGGCGAGATGAGAAGGAGGACTTATTTGCATGGAGCAGGGATTCCTTCAAGGAGCTTTGTTTTAGAAACTGTGAAAATCAGTCCTTGGAGTCCAGCGTTGTGGGTGCAGGCAATTTAACAACCACCTGCCATGCCATTATCCCATATAACAGTGCAATTTAAGTCTCTGTGACTCTGCATCCAATCTAGCTCCCAACTAATGTTCCTGGGAAAGCAGTGGAAGATGGCCTAGGTTGTTGAGAACTTGGCACTCATGAGGGACACCAGGATGGAGCTCCAGGCTCCTGGCTTTTGGTGGATACAGCCCTGGCCATTGAGGCCATTTGGAGTGTGAATCAGCACGTGAAAGACTGCTTCCTTTCTGTCTCTCCATTTCTTCACTCTCCTTTTGAATAAATAAAAGTAGCTCTTTTCTTAAAAAAAAAAAAATCCTCTTCATTTGTCCAAATGTGAAACAGTGGACTGTGAATGGATTTGCACTTAAAGAACCAGTGTGTGAAAAGAGAGGTGCCTGGGTAGTGGAGGATACTGTCTCCTGTCTTGTGAATGCTGTTGGGGATTGCCTGATCCATGGCAAATTCATGTATGGAAATCCCTGAACTTTCTTATTTTTGAATTCAAGACATTGAGTGTGTTTTCATTCACCATCAACTAGGCCAAATCACTGAACTTCTGGCTGTCTCCACTCACAATTTAAAAGTACATAACCTGTGTTACTATGAAGAAAAGGTGAAACTTGCAAAGCCAGCTTGTGATGTCAGTGTGGTTTATTTTTTTGCTATCATTTTTTGATGAAATGTAGTGAATGGCACATTGCCATTTCTTTTTTAAACAGATTTACTTATTTATTTGAGAGATAGACTTATATGTAGAAAGACAGAGAGGAAGGTCTTCCATCTGCTGGTTTACTCCTCAAATGGCCACAACGGCTAGAGCTGGGCTGACCTGAAGCCAGGTGGCAGGAGTTTCCTACAGGTCTCCCATGTGGTGCAGTGGCCCCAGTGTATGAGCCATCTTCCACTGCTTTCCCAGGCCCAAGCAGAGAGCTGTATTGGAAGAGGAGTAGCTGGGACACTAACAGGTGCCCATATGGGATACTGGCACTGCAGGTGGAGGCCCAGCCCACTATGCTATCGTGCTGGCCCCACATATTGCCATTTCTAAGTAAAAGATTTCCTAGTGAATAATTCATCATCTCAACCTCAGTTTTTTAAAAATTTTTATTTTTGATGCCTCTAACTTTGTTCTCTTTTCATGATTGCCTTTGTTTGCATATGAATTTTGGGATTATTTTTTTCTATTTTCACAAAAAATGAGATTGGGATTTTGGTAAAGATGGCATTGAATTCCTTGAATACTTTGGATAAATGTACATTTAAAGAATATTTTTTCTTCAAATTCATAAATATGGGATATATTTCTATGTTTTGTGTTTATTTCCTTTCAATAATAATTTGTAGGGTTTTTAAACATTTTACTAATATAAAAAGAACACATTTCATGAATTCCACAGGCACAGTTCTTAGAAGATAACTGTACTTCCCTGTCTCCCTCTTATCTTCTCTCAATTACCCTCCTTGCTTCCCTTTTCTTTGCCCTTTGCAAAAACATAATTTCAGTCCCACCTTGTTTAAATTAATTTCTGTGTATTACATTTTTTATTTTGTAACTGCTGTAAGTGGGGTTATTCTCTTTGTTTCTTGTTTTTCATTAAATTTTTGTTAATATTAAGAGAATAGATTTCATTAATTTCATTGTGTAGTTCTAAGAAAATAACCCTATTTCTTTCTTCCACCTCTGCCTTCCTCAATTCCCCTCTTTTTTTTTGGACAGGCAGAGTGGACAGTGAGAGAGAGAGACAGAGAGAAAGGTCTTCCTTTTGCCGTTGGTTTACCCTCCAATGGCCGCCGCGGCCAGTGCGCTGCGGCCGGCGCACTGCGCTGATCCGATGGCAGGAGCCAGGAGCCAGGTGCTTTTCCTGGTCTCCCATGGGGTGCAGGGCCCAAGCACCTGGGCCATCCTCCACTGCACTCCCTGGCCACAGCAGAGGGCTGGCCTGGAAGAGGGGCCACCGGGACAGAATCCGGCGCCCCGACCGGGACTAGAACCTGGTGTGCCAGCGCCGCTAGGCGGAGGATTAGCCTAGTGAGCCGTGGCGCTGGCCCAATTCCCCTCTTTCTTTATTTTTTCCCTCTTACTTAATTTTTGCAAAGATGCAGTTTCATTTTATTTTTTAAATTTTAACTTTTTTTTACCCTAGTCAATGTGCTTTGTAGATTCAATGCTAAGAACATATCTATATTGCCATCCTCCCTCTCTTTTTTCCCATCCTCCCTCTCTATAATCACAGGCTTAATTCTTTACTCACCATATATGCAACAACTGAAAATAGGAATATCACACTTACACAGGAGTTTAAACAAGCTAAAATTGACAATCATATTGCAAGATATCTGTTTCATTCCTATATATTTTTATAGGCTATATTAACTATGATATATCATAGAAAACATGATATTTGTCTTTTTGAGACTGGCTCTTTCATGAAGCATAATAGTTTTCAGTTGTATCCATGCTATTGCAAAACACAGGATTTCATTTCTTATGGCTGAGAAGTATTTCACTGTATAAACTTGTAATATTTTCTTGATCTCATCACCAATTGATAGCTATCAGGGTTGATTCCCTACCTTAGCTATTGTGAGCTGCAGTAAACATGGGAGTACAGGTAGCACTTTCATATGCTGATTTCATTTCATTAGGGTAAACTTCTGGTAGTGTGATTGCTGGGTCATACGGTAGATCCATTATCAGATTTCTGAAGAGTCTCACTCCTGTCTTCCATAATGGTTGTACCAGTGTACGTTCTTGTGAACAGTGGGTTATAGTACCTTTTCATCCACATCCTCACCATGTTTTTTTTTTTATTTTTGGATGATCATGATTCTAATTGGGATAAGGTGAAAACTCATTGTGGTTTTTAACAGCATTTCATTGATGATTGGTGATCTTGAACATTTTTTCATGTGTCTTTTGTCTGTCACATTTCTTTTAAAAAAAACCTTTTATTTAATAAATACAAATTTCCAAAGTACAACTTTTGGATTATAGTGTTTTTTTCCCCATAACCACCCTCCCACCTGCAAACCATCCCATCTCCTACTCCCTCTCCTATCCCATTCTTCATTAAGATTCATTTTTAATTATCTTTATATACAGAAGATCAACTTAGTATATACTAAGTAAAGATTAGAACAGTTTGCACCCACACAGATACACAAAGTATAAAGTACTGTTCGAATACTAGTTTTACTGTTAATTTGCATAGTACAACACATTAAGTACAATACATGGGGAGTGGGTGCACAGTGACTCCCGTTGTTGACTTAACAATTGACTCTTATTTATGACATCAGTAATCACCTGAGGCTCTTGTTGTGAGTTGCCATGGCTATGGAAGCCTTTTGAGTTCACAAACTCCAACCTTATTTAGAAAAGGCCATAATCAAAGTGGAAGTTCTCTCCTCCCTTCAGAGAAAGGTACCTCCTTCTTGGATGGCCCCGTTCTTTCCGCTGGGATCTCACTCACAGAGATCTTTCATTTAGGTCATTTTTTTTTTTTTTGCCACAGTGTCTTGGCTTTCCATGCCTGAAATACTCTCATGGGCTTTTTAGTCAGATCCGAATGCCTTAAGTGCTGATTCTGAGGCCAGAGTGCTATTTAGGGCATCTGCCATTCTATGAGTCTGCTGTGTATCCTGCTTCCCAAGTTGGATCGTTCTCTCCTTTTAAATTCTAACAGTTATTATTAGCAGACACTAGTCTTGTTTATGTGATCCCTTTGGCTCTTAGTCCTATCATTATGATCAATTGTGAACTGAAAGTAATCACTTTAACTAGTAAGATGGCATTGGTACATGCTACCTTAATGGGATTTGGAATCCCATGGCCGTCACATTTCATCCTTTGAAAAATTCCTATTCTGGTTCTTTGCTCATTTCTTGACGGGATTGTTAGTTTTGTTGTTGCTGAGTTTCTTGATATCTTTACAGATACTTTGTATTACTCTTTTACCCATTGCATAGTTTGCAAATATTTACTTCCATTCTATCATTTACTTATTTATTGAATGTTTCCTCTGAAGTACATAAACTTCTTACCTTGATGTAACTCATTTTAATTTGCTTTCATTGTCTGTGCTTCTGGGTTTTTTTCCAAGAAGTCTGCCTATGCTAGTGATTGTAGTTTCCCAGATGTTTTCCTCTAGCAATTTGGTGGTATCAGGTTGTAAAATTTGATCCTTGATCCATTTAGAGTCAATTTCCCTATAAGGTGTAAGGAGGGAGGTACTGTCTGAAGATCTGCAAATATAGACCCAGTTTTCCTAGCACCATTTGTTGAAGAGACTCTCTTTGCTCCAGGGATTGATTTTTAGTGTGTTTGTCAAAAAGTGGTTTTTTGTGGGGTCGTGTGTTAACTTCTTGGTTTCTATTCTGTTCCAAGGGTCTATATGTGTATTTTTGTGACAGTAGTGGGTGTTTTGATTAAAATTGCCCTGTAGTATATCTTGAAATTTGTTATTATGATGCCTCCAACTTTGTTTTTGTTAAGATTGCTATAGCTATTTGGGTCTCTTGTGTTTCTATATGAATTTTAGTGTCTTTTTCTAGATCTGAGATGAATGCCATTGGCATTTTGACTGGGTTCACATTGAATCTGTAAATGGCCTTTGGTATTCTGGACATTTTATATTAATTCTTCTCATTCATGAATATGGAAATTTTACCCACTTTGTGTCTTTTTTCTATTTGTTTCTTTAATGTTTTGTAATTTTCATCATACCAATCTTTGACCTGCTTGATTAAATTTATTCCAAGCTATTTAAAGATTTTGTAGCCACTGTGAATGGGGCTGATGACACAAGTTCTTTTTTTAAAATTTATTTTATTTATTTGAAAGAGTT